ATCTATCTATCTATCTATCTATCTATCTATCTATCTATCTATCTATCCATCTATCTATCCATCTATCTATCCCTCCCTCCATCCCTCTACTAGCTCTCAGGGCCACGAGGTTTAAAATGGGCATTCCTGTCGTCTTTGTAATGTTACTAAGATACACATGGGAAACATTCAAGCCCTTCTTGGATCGACTCCTATGCAATAATTTCTGCTATGAACAAGTTACAACGATGACCCACAACATTAAAGCCTTAAAAGTGAGGTGAATATCACTAATTTACATTTTTGCACTAGCACTCATCAAATGTTAACAAGATCTCTAGGATAATGCATGGAAATAGGCATTCAAAGCTTACCAGTTTTAACCAGGGCCAAGTTCAGCGTTTTATTATGCAAATTAGGCATGTTCAGCAACCGAGCACTTCTACGTGAACACTGAGGAAATTATTTTTCATTCAATCATTCGAAAAAAGGAAGAGAGCTTGTTGCAGTGAGCCAAGATTACAGGAAGTATTAAAAGGGCGCCTGAACACACCGCAGCTTGTAACACATAAGGCAATTCCTGACCACATACAGTGGTGTGAGAGGGAAAACTGGAACATTTAGCTGTGTAAGACATAGAGATAAAGGAGGGCTGAAACCCAAAATTAAAGCTAAATGAGCCAGCAGGACATTTTATGTATATAGAAAACACTTTCCAGTCGCCCTTGCAGACAATGTTGTGGTAACTATGGGAAATGTTCAGCTTACAATCAGATTCAATGGGGGGAAACTAAGATTTTAATCCTTGTTATGATCCAATGGACCGTCACACGCTCTCTGGGGTATTGTGGGATAGAAAAAGAGCATTGACCTAAATGCCTACCTTCATTCATGGCCTTGAGTTGTCAAATTCTACGTGGCAAATGATCTCTGAACTCATCCTAAGAGTGCTGGGCCCAGTCATTTATCAGCCTCAGAACAGAATTGCTGCTCGACACTGAGAGAGCCAGTTGTGCTGGTTCAAGCATGTAACCTTTCCGAGGTGCATGTTTCAGACACGTTACACCAGGAGGAGGCCCCAGGGAGGACCTCTGCTGACCGGGGGGGACACCTCGGTCCATCAGGTCAGCCGGGTTCACTGTAAACCTTTAATAAATGAGTAAAATCTGTGTGGTGCAGACAATGCTTATTCCGGAAAAGCTTTGAATGCCAAATTTATTTTGAGGAACACTTCTCTAATCAATAATTATAATAAGATTTTTTTTTCACTTGGCAGATTCCTGAATTTGTCCAAACTCTAATTTAAGAGACTCTAAATCTTGAAGGTGCTCTTCTTGCACTCAATCGTTTTAGACCTGGTGTTGCTCATATTACATCTATTATATCTAATCCTTCTGTGGGACCACATTTCTAAAGTAGGGGTTGTAGATTTTGACAGGAGCATTCATAAAAAAAAAGGTAAATAAAATAAAGAGCAACATTAATTGTTCTCGTACATCAGCGGCAATTCTCTTTGAACTATGACGTATTCTAAACATTCTGAGTCTAAATTCTCTCCAGACCTCTCCTTATTGATGATGAGTCAATGGGCTCGTGGTCTCTATTTTAGCTCATGTTTAGTTTCTTAGAAAACTAAACATGAATATTGCTTGAAAGGCTGTAGAGCTGTAATCATTCATTGAATCTCTGAACCCATAATTATTCATTTTCCGCCAATCTGGCTCCTGTGGGAAAAAAAAAAGAAGCATTGCTGGTCGCTGTAGTTGGGAAGCTACCCGGTTATTAGAGTCATGGCTTCTTGTGGCTAGCTGGAGGGGGCCCAGACCAGGACTTCTCTCTCTCCCTCCACTCTGGTCTCTCTGGGTTAGGATAAGGGGTTAACCAGGGCCACGTGTACGTGTGGATGGGGTGACTCCATGGCACATGGGCAAACATGTTGGCATGCACGGTAAACAAGTGGAAACCAAGGAGATGAGGACTAACATTGACTACCATTCTCAACGGGAAATACATTATTGTTTAATTGATCTCAGAAAAGAAGGATTTGGTGTATATCAGATCACCAATAGAGAGCATTTAACACCTCAGTGCCCTTGTAGTTGTCTCAGAGCCTGCAAATACAGGTGCAGAAACAAAATGTAGCATGTCAAGATGGCATTTTGGGTGTGTATCAAGCTTTTTTCTGTTCCTGGTAATCAATCCCACATGCACATTTGTTTGCATTCACCCTACAAAATCACTATGATCCGCTATGACATTTCTAAATCCTGTTCACGATTAAGACAATAAAAAAAAGATAACCCCAATACAGCATGCTAAGTTTCAGTGGATGGATGAATGAACACGTGACATCACAGTAGGCATTTTCAGAATAAACAAAATTGGACCGTCGGCCACTAAAAAGAGTGACGATTTACATTTCTTACCAACCAGAACTTCAGTTCAAAGAGGGCAAAACTCAGTTTGTGGCAACTTGAATTCCAAACGCCTGAATCCTTCAGAATCTAGCTGTATCGCGTTGCAGGCACTGGCCATGCTAAACTGCTTAACATTTTTCTTTTAAGAGCAGTCTGCACTGAAACGACGATAGCAGACAGAATGGAGGAAGCGATTCGTTTGAAAACGGTGTCATTATACCTGTCTGACACGGCCTTCATAAATTCATCCAGCAGGTCGTCATAGGCCTGGCCTCGCACTCTCTTGTGCCGCAGCCCGATGTAGAGGCTGTCCTTCAGCAGGGCCTGAAAAGAGACACAAGGGTGGAGATTAAGGCAGCGTATAAAAGCAGATTATTTACAACTAATAGGAATAGAGAAGCTGCTATCCATCCAAACTGTGTCCAGTACTTTGCCCAAGTCTTGAGCCGCCCTCATGTCCAAAAAACTGGACATTGGGTGGTGTGATTTGCTGTAACATCTACAAACATACATTATAATAAACTAATAAACACAGCTTGCCCCTCTTGTGCTATCTTAAAGTGGTCTTCAGGAATATTTTCACAGGCTTCTTGAAGGACATTATTCTATTGTCCCCTTCAAAAAAAGGTGGATTCTTCTGATTTTCCTATTTTCTTAACATCCCTTTCTGATACTGTTCATCGGATGTAGATAGTTTTATAAGACCTGCAACAGCTTCTTTTACACCTTCACCTGTTAAGCTTTTTTAAAAGACACATTGCAGGGGCGTTATGCCACCATGCCAAGTTTTCAGCTAAGGGCTCTTTTTGACTCCTGATGGTGTAAGAATACTGTCAAATTATGGAGGGTGGCTCACCACAACAGTGTTTAATTACAAGAAGAAACCGCTTCAGAATGCTGACATACAAGAAAAAACAGACTCTTAAAGGGCAACCATTCAGTCAGGATAAAAAGAATTGTAGCACAATCATATGTTCGTTGTTGTTCCTGCTCATTAGGATTTACATAAAGAGTTAAATTAGTGACCATTGTCGATCGTATTATATTAATACGAAGAATGTCAGTTTTTTAAATAAATTCTTTAACAAACAGCACATATCTCAAGCTCATCTTTGACTATTAATTGTCATGGTGAAAATCTAAATACTGTGCATTGGGAAACATTGACTCCAATGGATTTCCAGCCCAAAGGTTGGTGAACTGATCCGCACCCTTGCCTTGCCACACCTCCATAAAAAAAGAAAACTTTTTCTTTTTGGGTAAGAAAATTAAAGGGTGCCCCTACGATGAGCACAGCTCACAGGAGGGTGAGGCCACCTTTCCATGGCAGGGTCAACAGTCGGCACGTCCAAGAACAACCAGAAAATTTATTTAAGCAAGGTTAATTTTGGGCTGACAAGTCATTTCCTGGCAAGTCCTCGATGGATTGAAGTGGGCAGCAGCTGGCCAAATTCAATCAAATAAAGCTAAAGCAATTTTCATGGGTTCCCACAGAGAAGTGGTATCATGTCGGAGGGAGGTTTTAGTGGCGTTTTCATCAAATAATGTACCAGGGAAAAAAAAGGGGTAAAGAGCTCTTTGGATGGCGACACTTTTCTGGGAGCCACTCAGTTAATTTGAAACTGTGAGTGAACTGCTTTGTAAGCTGAAAGAGAAGAAGCCCCGAGTGATTTTGAAGTGGTCTGACCTCACTGACGCTGTGCTGAACTGTTGACATGAGTCGTCTTTCTGTCCCAGATTATCTGCTGGTAATTGGCTAAGCTATCCTTTGTAGTAGGCAGCTCCTTTCTCCTCAGAGGGGATTAGTATTGTGTGTGGCTGTTAGAGACACTCCAACAACACTCTCCAAACTGCTCAGAGTGTTGATAACATTAATATTTAGCTCAATGCAATGAGTTTTGTGCTGCTGGATCAGAAGCTACACAATCGGCGGCCTTTGGAATAAGATGCTTTACCCGTCCAAGCCCACCCAGGACACACACACAAGGTAGCACATTGTCAAAGGTGACATCATACGCTCATCTGAGCATGAATCAGTGTGTGTGTGTCTGTGGGCATTACTCCTGTAGATACGAGGCTCAGACGCACAGATAGCCACAGTTTGAACAGATAGCATTGTGGTGCAGTAAACCATGACTCCATGAAAGCGTGTTTACCTTCTTAGTGTGTGTGTGTGTGTTTGTTTCTGTCTCCCTACAGACATGGCTGCTCTTTTTGTATGTATTGTACAGTAAGTCCTACACAAGGACGGTTCATGATCTAATCAGAAACTAAAGGAATGGCTGAACCTCTTAAGAGGTGGTCTCACTTTCTCTCTTGTTATGAGTCAAGGTGAAAATATTGAGACTGATCTTAGCATATGAAGCTAAAGCTAAATACTGATTAGTATGTACATTTCTTTATATGGTGATAAAGCCCAAGCTTCAAAACTGCTGCTGAACAGATTTTGTGCGTAATGGCTAAACTGTTTGCTCTTGCCTCATATTTACTAAATTGATATATGTATTCCTGCCTGAAGCCATTCAACCCTTTTCAGCCCCCCCCAAAAAAAGCCTATGCCCCAAGATGCCAAACCTTCGGTTTGAAAAAGAAAAAACACACAAAAAAAACACAAAGGCATGTGTGGGTCGTGGGATCTGCTCGCTGAAATATTTGGATGCGTGCCTGCCTCTTTCTCCACCCCTACACCCACTCAAGGACAAACATAATCCCATAATAACAGTCATTTTAATAATTAGCCGGGGCTACCACTACCTCATATCCTTCCATTCACTCGGCTCCCAACAAGCCTCCGGATTCAGGGTTGCAGAGTGAAGTGGGTTTACCGGCAGGGCAGCAGGAAAACTTGCCTCTCAAATGAGATCGGTCCATAAGAACCACACATACACACACAAGTCATTTAATTAGCTTATTTAGTGTGATATCCCTGTATAACGATAGAAAGGGGGGAACTTGAACCAGTAACCCTCTTGCTGTGTGTCAATAGTCCTAAGACATACAGTAAATACATGTGTATAATTTTTGTTAGAGATATCATCATATTTATATTATTTGAAATGTATTTTCCAATTAATTCAATCCAATGTTCAAGCTCTCAACAGTCAGAAACAGAAAACAGGGTGTCAGTTGGATGACACTGGGATGCAAATACGGTCATTTTATTTCTTGACACCGTTCCCTAATGAGCAATGTGCAAGTTATTTTTAGTCTACGCTGAGTTTAAACTCAATTAAAAGGCTGAAGTCAACTTCTTCTACAGCATTTATCTCATGCTTATCTATTATTTTATATCAAATACTATAAAATAAATACTTACTAGTCATCTTTTTTAAGGAATGGGACTAAGGATTGACACAGGCATGGATCACAGGCTCCACAGCTTGTTAAAGTTGTATTGTCATGCCCGTAAATGTCCAAAACCATTTGCACACCTTAGAAAACCTCAAGGGTTTTCTCAATCTAAATGAAACTAAGTGAGCGTCAGATTTAGTGTGGAAACTTTGAGAGGAGGCGGCCATAGAGAAAGAGGTCAGAGGGTAGAATTACATGGCTGTGAGTGGGTCTACAGAGACTACTGAGGGCTGAAGCAGGGAAGCTGGCAGAGTGAGAGATGACTTAACTCCTAATCCAATTCTAATGGCCTTACATGAACTAAGCAATGTAAAAACAACCACTTAATATTTTTTATGAACTTTTTGTGGACACAGTAGTATCTAAAATGCAAGACAGGCCAAAGCACATGATAAAATGTACATTTGGTGAATGCTTTCAGCCTCTAATCTCTGGATATCTCAGTGCCCTCAAAGTTTTCCTTCACCCTTTCCATCAAAGCCTATTAGTTTTTCTTACCTAACATTATTTGATTATGTTAATTCTTAAAGCTTTCTCACATCTGCAACATCTCTCAGGCCGAATCTACTCTTGACATCTGCTTAAAATGAAACTAAACCCCGAAGCTTGAGCCATCTGAAGGCTATCTTGGAAAATGACAGTTGGAGTTCAGCTGGCAGCAGGCGTCTTAGTCTGCTCCGCCCTTGGCAGAGGCCAGGAGCTTTGTATATATGGAAGCGAACAAACTATTATTAGCCTGTTTTAAGGCTATGGACACACGTGCCGCCCTGCCCAAAGTCTGGATTGTGTTTCTATGAGGCTGCCATGGAGAATGGGGTCCATTAGGCGATGACCACAGCTCTGTTGGCCGCTGCCTCACAGACTGGCGGAGGTGTAAGGTGCTTTCCCGACTGGCATCCATCAGTGGAGGTGCTTAACTCATTTATGTAAAGGAAGTTTCCTGGTTGTGGAGTGCGAGATTTTTTTTCTTTACTTGGCTAACTTCTGAGGCGAGAACTAACTGGTTAGAGTGGACAAAACACTTGACCATTTCAAAATGGACAAGTTCATTCTAAATCCAACAACTGGATCTTACCGAGGGTAAAATTAAATGTCATTGCCTGAAGACTAGGAGGCATTTTAGAACTTTCCTTGTCCAAATCAGGAGGTCAAATGAATATCTAAAGAAGACTTATATCAGTCTAGTGAAATTCACAAATTTAATGGACATTGGTCCTTTTATAATGCTTCTTAATATGCTGTAGGAAACAAAATGTAATATATAGTATTTATCAACACTTCCAGTAATCTTACCAGATTTATTCTAGTATTTAGTGCATAATTCAAGACATTGCATGTACAACCGAATAGCTATAAGAAATGACTGAACATCACTTACACAATCAAATGCATGTTTAAACGAGGCTTTTTTTGTCTTGTGTCCTATTAACCCTAACATGCATGTTTTTTTGGGATGGTGGCCCTGCCGCAGACACAGGGACAGCATGCAAACTCCGACTCATATTTATCATAAATAATTAGATTTTCCTAATTTTGTCTTAGTTTTTGCATGTATACTTTTAGTGTCCAAACCTTATGTAATCCATCTTTTTCAGGTCTCTCTGCTATCTTGGTAAAAGTAGTTGAAACATGATGTGTTTTAGGCTTTAAAAGATTTGTGGACACAACCTAATCTCAACTTTTATGAGTAGAATTATGGGTTGTAATAAAAGCACTGTGACCTGGCTGATATGTCTTGAGGAAGTTCAGAAGAAAAGCCTCGAACATGAATTATACGACACATACTATGTTTTAGAACCATAGAGCACTTCCACACCTTTGTAGAGCTGCCAAGATCTCCTCAGCCTCATTTACCAAATGGGGGAGATTGTAAATAACATTTGTAATCGTTATCAACACAGATCAGCTGTCCGTATCACGATGAAAGACAACATTGGTTTGAAGATAAACTTATGCTCTTAAAAAATCTGGCAGACTATGCTGACCAGTTACGGCTTCCAAGGGAAATATTTCTCTTGGCAACTACTGTGAGTGTCGGAATGAAGTTAGCAAGCAGTTCTGTAGCTTCGTTCTTATCAGTAAAGTGTAGTCAGTAAGAACGTTGCTAATGTAAATGCACTTTATTGGGATAATCATAGAAAAACGAACCAGAGGAAAGTATCAACAAACTCTATAACATATTATTTGTTCACATTACACCCAGCTCTAAAACAAGGCGAAAATCCAATTTTCTTTCCACATCACGGAATGTAATGTGAAACCAATACGCATAAGCTGTTTATAGTTCTGTTTACGGGCTTTTATATTTAGAAATGAGCTCTTACCTCATTGTCCGTGCCCACGTCCAGCATGACCGGTAGGCACTGCTGTGGCGCCATTCCTCCGCATGCCGTGTACAGGGCCAGCTTGCCAACCGGGATCCCCATGCCATTGCAACCCAGGTCTCCCAATCCCAGGATCCTCTCTCCATCCGTCACACACACAGCCTGTCAACCAGTGCAACCCAACAAAAGTGACTAATTCATCCAAAATTTGCGAGGGTCAACCAGTTGACAGAAACGCATCAATATTTGGACGTCACGTCTTTAAAAATGTGATTATGCTTAAAATAAATGGTGCAACAGTCAACCGTCTTTGGGTCCATTCCACAATCAATAAATGCTGGATTTTCCTTTGCAAAAGGCCAATTACTCCCACACCCTCCTGGATTTCCCCTCTCTAGCAACAATATTTTCCGGTATTGGACAGTAAGTTCTTCCTCCCGGGATGGCTCAGCCGCACGACACGAATAAGTTGTGCAACATTTGACATTAGCAGCAGAGGAGTTAAATGAAAACTGTTCCAAAACTCTTAAAAGCATTTTCCTTTTTCCACCTTTGGTGTGACGCACATACTTCTGGCACTGGCCGTTAACAGCCCTCACTCCACCCACGCTTCGACATTTTCAGAGCGTCCATTAATTAGTTTTCCCACTCAGATGTTTAAAATACCTTTAACAGCTTGTTAATGCGTGGTAAAAAAAGCTGCAAGGGCTTATTAGTGGATGACTACCTTGGCTTCAGTGTGCCCTCTCCCCTCTGAAATGCTGATTGTGGAGCATGCTGGTTTGTGATAAGACCACCCTGAGAATAGGCGGCAGCTTATTGGCGCAGAGGTACAGTAAATGCTCTGCTGTTGACAGCCATGAACAGGTGGCAGAGGCTGCAGGTAGATTTCACATGCCAGGAATGCCTGCCAGTGTCGTCATGCTAAATATGGTCAGATTATGACTTGCACATATTTGCCCTTTGCACAAGATTAAAGAGATAGCTCAGCCTTTTTTTTTATAAATTGCCCAGCACAAGTAAACCTTTTATGCCTCAAACAAATAACTCACTAGTTCACTATTTTAGCAATAGGTGTAGTTTAAATGTGCTTCATCTGGGTTTAATACTAAACAATAATGATCTTTAATATCCTAAACAATGACTTGCATGGTTTTGTTTTTAAAAAAGAAGCTTATAGACTGTCCCACTACTCTGTAAAGCCAGCAGAAAGTTAATTAGTTTTAGACTGGTGTAAAAACATAAAGAATAGTTATATACAGCTTTTTCTAGTTGTATCAATTATTTTCTCTGCATTTAACAAATCACAATGAATGTGTTAAAGTCCCAGGCCTACAAGAAACTATTAACAATCCTTTAGGAAGCAAGGTCAGCCCTATAACTCCTAAATTATTTTAACTCATTTGAGAAATGCAGTCTGTGACTCTCTTTTCTGAGTTCTTTTTCTGTTTAGAATATGTCCCAGCACTCCAACAGGGTAGACTTAATAAAGAACCACGGTTAAACACTTTTCTGGAGTGTTTTTCTACCAGTGAGGTCATCCTTACCTTAAACCTTAAGAAGTATTGTTGCACACCTTAAACTCATGATCAAGGAGTTTCAAACCAGGTCTGATTTTTTTATGTGAAAGTGCAAAGAACTCTGTGAAGGTTGACGTTAAACTGCCTTCTAAATGTCTCTGAGGTGACAGGGAGAGTAGTAAAAAAGGACAAATGGGCAATCTGACAATCCTCCTTACAGCACTGATGTCATCACTCAGATGTTACCTGATAACACGTGTGAGTACACACAGAGTTGTGGTGCAAATAATTGGAAAAACAATAGTAAAATAGTGCAAGTTTAACCCGAGATTACCTTAATGTCCTTTTCTGGCCAGTTTTGAAGGATTGAGGCGATGTGGCCACGGTCGTGTATAGTGATGAACAGCCCCCTGTTAACAAAGACAAACAAACACAAAACAAAAGATGAGTTGTACAAGATTTGATCATTCTAGGATGTGCATGTTGGGCACAGAGCGCTGTGTTGTTACATCTGTTTTTCACTTACTGGGTTTCGGGTCATACTCTAACAAATGTGAAAAGCATCAACATTGGGTTAAAAAAAAAAAAAAACCTAAATAAATAAAACCCACATCAACACTTTGCAAAATATTGTTATCTGAGATTTAAAAGAAAGCCGGCTTTGAGCGGCCCATCAGATGCCCTTTAGAGCTGGGCAAATATTTATCCTCACCCCCTCCTTTCTTCTGACTAAAACCTTATTGAATACCGATGGCAGCGTTGAGCCCAAAGCTCAAGGCGTCTATGAGGACTTTAGGGACTCCCCAAACATTCATTTCTCTTTGCCTCACCTCCCTTGTACCGAACGGCCTCTCTCATCTGTGTGCTCTGTTTAGGGATATCCCATGATAAAGATATATTTCCAGCCTGTGAGGTCCAGCTGCAGCATCTTTCCTATCAAACGCAAACGTCTGGTTATGGTACAGGGGCCACTGGCAGCCATAACACCATTACGAATCTTTGCATGACATCGCCAGACTCGAGCAAGAGTAAGACATTTATAATGTTCAAAGTGACATAAGGAGACAGTCATAAAAGTGTCACATGGACCTGCTGTGAGTCGATGATGAAGTAGGGAACGCTGTCTTTTGAAGTAGTGAGCTCAAGGTTGATATCAAAAACACCTAGATGGTTTTTTGAACATTCACCAGACTAGCTGAGCTGAGAAATGAAGCCCACGACAACATTCGGCTTCCATCAAAAACACAACCCAGCCAGAATAGTCCCCCTTCTACCCCGACGCCCTCACAGGGGATTGAAGCCAAACATTTCGGGAAAGTCTTTCTCAGTCAAGGTGCGTTTGTTTTACGTGCACAGAGCGGCAGACGCGTCACGGCCGCGAGCATATGACTCTTGTTAAACGGGCGGGGGGGGGGTCACACATGGCAAACACCAGCAGCAGCCCCGGGGGTTCGCTGGATTTGCCGTCCAAGGTAAACCATGTGTCCCCTCTAATTGATTAGGCAGGGCTCCCACAATGAGAGACTCTTCTCGAGGTGCATTGTCCCCGTGGTGTTTTTTTAACACATCTAAACTTTTTTTGTGTTTCATACGTCCTCGTGCAACTTAGAGAAACTTCAGTGGGAAATCTGAAGAAGGCGCTAACACTGCGGCTCCTTTTGGGACTTTTCAGATGAAAATATGAGCTGAAGTCATCACCACGGTAACAAAAAGAAAATGTGTGAGAGAAGCTGTTCTATTCTGCAGACAATTAATTTACACTGTGTATGCTTTCACCACAGACTGTTAAAAATGGTCAGGGGAGTCCCTGTTTTTCTAAGAAGTTCAGCTGAATAGGAAAATTGACTTGGGAAAGTCTTCTTGAAGATAAGTCTCATGGACAAAAAAAGTACTCACACAGCCAAGTCATTTCTATAAATGGAAACAGAAATAGAATCTATCTGTTTGTACACATACAGATATAAGTATTTGTGCATATGAAATCCAGGGAAAGGAAACAGAACATCTCTGTTTATTAGACAGCCTCATGTGATGTTTCTGATTTATTCTATTAAACTGTTTTCTATTCATATAACTAAAACGTTAATGAATTCATGTTTAAAAGTTGCCTCAACAAGGATAACATTATTTAGCTTTTTGTCAAACACAATGGGATGAAGGGATTTAGGAAAGCTTTAAGCATGACTGGACAAAGACAATGTGTCTTGATCCTCCCACGGCGAAACCCTCTGCAGTTCACATAAAGTTCACTCACCTGCAGACATGTGGCCTCGGACTTTCCTAAAACTTCTTTCTCTACCGCCTCGCATCGATGTGCAAAAAAAAAAAAAAAACGGGAAAATGTTACTTGGAAATGCTCCACGGAGGGATTGTGAGATTGTTAAAGTCCAAAAAACATCTCAGGTCCACCTCTCACTGGCGCCATTTCTCGCTTTCTGACACTTTATGCTTTCAGGACGGCGGTCAACCTACTGACCTTTGGCACCGAGCACATCCTTAACGTTTCAGGAGGACTGCACGCTGACTCGTTCGGGGGTGCGATAATCTGCAGTATATTTCCCGATGATAGAGTCATGGAGATTTAAATCCATCACCACTTTCTACAAAGATAATGATCTTGTTTTGTGTGCAGACTTGAAGTGGAAAAAGGCATGGGAGGATAACATCAGTTGTAATGAATGTGGGTGTGAATGAAAGCTTTTTAGAACCTGTCCCGTATCATGTCTACCCTATAAAACTGCAGTGGGAGGGTAACACTGATGCCTTGTTATTTTTTCTACAATGATGTCAGACATCAGATACTGTAAACATCTCAGCTCTAGATTTCACTTCAGCTATTTATGCGAAAATATCCATGCATTTTTTTCCAGTAGTTGCTTTGTCAGCCCATCAGGAATAGTTGGAAAGCCACTGTGTGGCATTACTTTTGCAAAGGCAACATCATACTAAAGATTAGTCTTTTTCTATTCATTCAAACCTTGGCAGCATTATAGGCACTAAATTAGCCACTAGTCAATAGCTGTCTAAGCTATGGAAGTAGCTAAATGGCTCAGTATTATTTAGCTAGCCACTTTAATCAATTTACAATATTATATTGAATAGAGTTTTTACATTTATGTACGACTTGGTCCCTTTTACATTATTCTACACAAATATGACCAAAACTGTGCAAAATGTTCACCGACGTGTTAAGCAATCACTTGTACAACTTTTCTTATTCACATATTTTTTAAAGATAATTCTTGTTTTTCCTTTTGGGGAAAGTACAAAATTCTATTTGTGTTGCTCAGTTTTCTTTTTTGCTTCTTTAAAAACCCGTAATAAAGTATCACACCCTGACTTAATCTAATGATCTATTTAACCCATTAAGGCCCGATCGAAGAAAAAAATGTAGAGAAAATTTGTTTAGTAACTTTTTATAGTCTGAAGTCTTTATTTGGCCCTTTAATGAAATATGACTAAAAATAAACAGAAATAATTTCTGAATATTTATAATTTAATACTGTATAAATAAAGATAAATAAAGATTCTCCTTGTAGTCTTCTGCCCACTGTTATCATGTGTATTGGATTATGTGCAACGGGGTTTTGAGCAAAGTTTTTACCAATAAATGATGCAAAAGAATTTAGAAACTGAATGTATCCAATATGATTCATGTGGCATTATACAAACTTTCTATGACCTATCTGATAGTGGAGGGTGAGTAAATCTGATGCTCAGTGGTGGACAGATGGGTTTTATGAAAATCACAGTTTGGTCATGTTAGCCCTGCTTCTGAATGATCAATTTTAAGGTCAGAATGATAATACAAACTTTTTTCACACACTACGGCAGTGGCAGGCGCAAGTGAAATGTCACACAGTAACAAAATGGGAACCGCCCTCCTGGTTTATTTGACATTTACTGGCTTCTAAAAGAGCAGAATCACACTGCAAGATGTTTTAGCACCAGTAAGGCCTTCTCAGACAACTTAATAAAAAATCAAGGAGACGATCCCAGGCCATGGTTTATCTCATCACTGGACAACCCAGCAATAAAACATGTCTGTCATTTCAGATTTGGTGCTTAACTGGTCGGAGAAATTTCACATTGCACGGCTTTGACCTTTGACCCTCATTCCACACTCTTTTAAGTGATTTGTGTTCATTATATGGCTTCCTTTACTGAGGGTGCCCAACACAGGATTAACGCCATGCAGTTAGGGGGGGGGGATAGTGGCGACTTGTGGTGTTTTGTGTGGTCAAAGGTCAAAGATGGGAGGCTGTGTTCTTTGTTGTGCTCAGAGTGCGTTTCGGGGTCAGGCCTGTCCTCCTCAGGGTGTTCCATGATGAGCCTGATCCGGCAGCTCCGGGGTTACTTTCCCTTCATATTTACCCGTCTTTGTGCAACTAGATGTAAATGTCGCTGAAAACAACGTTCACAAAACAGAACATAAAATAGCGGGTGAGATGCATTTCAGCCAAAGATTCAGTCGGAATCATTCGTTACGCACTGTAACGCAAGTTGTTGGGGTTGTCGAGGAGCACCTTTTGATAAAAGCCTAAGTAGGAAATTGGCAGGCGCTGCAGTAAAATGAGGAGAGCTGTTGCACTGGGCAGGGGCGGTCCAGGCCTGTAACCCCTTTAGGCCAGCTGCTGCTGTCAGTGGGCCCAGAAAAACTGTTTCTGTTGGACTAACTGCAGTTTCATCCATGTAGAGCCATTTGGTCGGCACCAATGTGGGACTGGTAATGAGTCTGGCCGTGTAAAGTGTTCGATAGCTTTGATTGTAACTGGATACCACAGCGCCTTCAGCTAACTGAGAAGTGGCTCTCTGAGGGAGGATGCCGGGTTACCGATACATGATTGATTCGTCCTGTGAAGATGAAATTGGTTAAATCAATAACCTTAGACCCAATTTTATGCAAAAGCAAAATTACATCCAGGATGAGGCAGTAAGAGAAACACGCTTAAGCAGGAGAACGCCTTCATGGAGGATACGGCGTGGGTTTTGACATCTGGTTCAAACGGGAGCATCCCTCCAAAATTAACACACTGGATCCCGCGGCCAGAGCAGCTGCCTGGATATCTGAGAGATTATTTCATTACGGTTGGAAAGTTCAACATGGCTTTGCAGAAACAAAAACACGCCTTTTCCAATAATAAGAGATTAACATAAAGAATTTCATTAGGAAGGATTAATAATACGGCCTCAGTTTGGGTTCAAATGGTTCCAAACAAAGTCCAAGAGTTAAAAATACATAAGATAATCAACAACAGATTTGAAAGCCACAGTTTGATACCAGAGGAAAGCTTCCTAAAAGGCACCCCAATGTCATAATGTAAAAGTAAGTAATATTGTTTTAAATGTATTCATCACATGACAAGTTTAACTAATTCAGATGGCACTAAAACAGGTCCAATGTAAGAAA